ATTAGAAGTGCTAAGAATAATTCAGTTGAGATCTAACTGATCGGATGTTCGAAATAATTCCTTTGGTTTTGTAACTAGACAAGTCTTGAACCTGTTTCCTGACATGGGCCTGCCCTATAATCAGGCACAGTAGACAGGTAATGGTTCTTTGGCCCCCATAAGTCCAGCTAGAGAAAGGTTTCCAGATGCAGGGCTTTAGCGTCTGGGGGGCTTTTAGCTACAAATGATCCGCTGCCTCTCCAGACCACAGAGTCTGAATCTCACTACATTTACCCCCATCCTCACTATTCTGCCGTCCACCTAGCGTGCGGGGCGTGTGAGTGAGAGGGCTACTGAAAGGGAAGGCACCTTAGAAAATGCAAATTTTGTTGTGTGTAAAAGCAAAGCTTGGCTGGGCATGTGGCTCACGTCTGTAATCCAAGCACTTTGTGAGAGGCGAGGAGATTGCTTGAGCTCAGGAGTCTAGAACCAGCCTGAGTAAGAGCGAGACCTGCCCTCTACTATAAATAGAAAGAAATTAGCCCAAACAACTAAAAATAGAAAAATTAGCCAGGCAAGGTGGCACGTTCCTGTGAGTCCCAGATACTGGGAGTTGTAAGGCAGGAGGATCGCTTGACCCCAACAGGTTTTGAGATTGCTGTGAGCTAGGCTGAATGCCATGGCACTCTAGCCGAAGGCAAAAGACTGAAGAGCTCTGTCTCAAAAAAACAAAAAAAAAAAGCAAAGGTTTAACCATAAAGGTATTTGTAACCCTCTTTTTTTTTGAGACAGAGTCTGGCTTTGTTGCCCAGGCTTAAAGTGAGGCTGCCCTTAGCTCACAGCAACCGCAAAACTTCCGGGCTCAAGCAATCCTCCTGCCTCAGCCTCCCGAGTAGCTGGACTATAGCATGTGGCCACCATGCCTGGCTAATTTTTTTTTTCAATATATTAATTTTGCCAATTAATTTCTTTCTATTTATAGTAGAGAACGGGGTCTCGCTCTTGCTCAGGTGGTTTCAAACTCCTGACCTGGGAGCAATCTGCCCGCCTCCGCCTTCCAGACAGTCTAGGAATTACAGTTGTGAGCCAGCGCGCGCCCAGCCCGTGTAGCCCTCTCTTTTTAACCCATCAAATTGTTTTTTTCTTTTTTAAGTTTAATAATATCTATGGTTGGATTTCCATAACCCTGTTGAGGGAAAGTAAATTTGGCAAGCTTTTTGCCCAAATTATCTATCAAAATTAAAGATACCACACACTCACAGTTCCATAGTTAGAATGTGATATATAGGCGGCTGGGGGGCTCACGCCTATAATCCGCACTCTGGGAGGCTGAGGCGGTGGATCGCTCAAGGTCAGGAGTTCAAAATCAGCCTGAGAAGAGTGAGACCCGATCTCACTAAAATAGAAAGAGGCCGGCGCTGCGTGGTCACGACTCGTAATCCCTAGTCTTTTGAGGCCGAGCGGGCGGAATGTGCTCAAGGTCGGTCGAAGTTCGAACCCAGCCCTGAGCAGAGCGAGACACCGGTCTGCTACTATAAAAGCAAGAAAATTAATGCCCAACTGATATATATATACAAAAATTAGCTTTGGCGGCATGGGTGGACATGCCTGTTAGTCCCAGCTACCCGGTGAAGGCTGAGGCAGAAGGATCACTCGACGCCCAGGAGTTTGACGGTTCGCTGTGAGCTAGGTTTGAAGCCACGGCACTCACTCTAGCCTGGGCAACAACCGCGAGACTCTCGTCCTCAAAAAAAAAAACAAAATAGAAAGAAACTTAATTGGCCCAACTAATATATATAGAAAAAATTAACCGGGCATGAAGGCACATGCCTTAGTCCAGGCTTCGGAGGCTGAGGCATTCG